CTTGCAGTCTCTGTACAGCAAAGGTGAGGTTTTAAAGGGAATGCTAGCCTTACACTAGTCAAAAAGTCATTCAAATGCGTTTTTAAAAAACAAACACACAGTCGTGCAAATTATATTTCCATTATGTAGTGACTGATTTTCGAACTATAATAAATAAATCAGGTTTTCATCCATTTTGTAAGATATATGCAGTACTAACAGTTCAACTTTTAACAGGCAAGAAACACAATGGCCTTCCAATTTATCGTCCATTTGGCAGAAGTTTTCCAAACATTTCCTTCGATTTTTTTGCCTCAAAAACATCATAACCGATTTTCTATTCGTGCCCATTAATTGGATGAAAAAATAAACTGTCCAAATGACAGATTTTTTTTGTCTAGTGTATGGGCACCATAAGTTGCAGAAAAGGGAGCCTATCAGTTCTTGCTTTCTGAAGGGAGAAGAAAGCAGAGTGACTTAGAGATGAGCTCATCACTGTACTGCTTCTCCTGTCACTGTCTGAGGTGGGTCCAGGATGACCTAGGCTCAGTGGAAGTGGGTTGAAAACTGATGGCAATTGGATCGACTTGAATATTGCGCATGTATGTATGTATGTATATATATATATATATATATATATATATATATATATATATATATATACACACACACACACACACACACACAGTATAGGTGCTTTACTAGTAATGGTGACTTACAGTGTGACAGTGATAGTGTAGAAGGCAATCTGGTGCTAACTGACATTGGCTGGGAGGGACACTAACTGACGCTCACATCTCAAGTGACACTAATACAGTGATCAGATATAATACTGTACTAATGACACTGGCTGAGAAGGGGGTAACATCTAGTTGCAATCAAAGTTAACTGTGTGCCTAACAAGTGTAATGTGTGTAATATGTGTTTTTGCTCACAGATCTGGCTGTTTTTTTCTCCCTTCTTGTCAGGGAGAAGAAACAGCTAGATCGCTGTTATGTTTCCAAAGTGTTCTGTGTGTTTGTGAACTCAGAACTTTGTGCTGTGATTGGACACAGCCAAACTTGTGTCCAATCATAGCATGGGTTAGCAGGGGGTTTGCGCATGTGCTCCCGAATCCCAGAAGCCAGGTGGAGATGTACAGGTACGTTGTCTAGCCTGGCTGTGCCGCCCACAGTACATGTATGGCAAGCAGGTAATGAAAGTTACTCCAGCAAACAGAAGACTGCAGGATGGGACCAAATACTGAGGGAAAGGAAGCACAGATTATTTACAAATGAAAAAGGGCCCATTCACTCCACTCACCGTGTAGTGACACATGGTAGAAATGTGTGACACCACAACATGTGGTAGAACACATTATGTGCATTTGTGTGCTACGGTGAAATGCATATTCTATATCACCTCAATGAATCTTCACATTGTATGAGTGTATCATAATGCATTCCCTGTGCAGCAGGTCTGGATCTAGGGGGGTGCTGGGGTGGGCTGTGCCCCCTAGGTCTCTGAGAGTGCATACACTGATCCATGAGCCAGTCAGAGGCAGGCAGTTGAGATAAGGGGGCACTCAGATGGGGACACCTGTTATAGGGGGCATTCTGATGTGGATCACTGATAATATTATGAGGACATTGGATGTTAGAGGGGCTCTATTAAGAACACTGCTGTAAGTGGGCACTCTGATGAGGACACCTGATGTAAGTGGGCACTCCGATGGGGACACCTGATGTAAGGGTCACTCTGATGGGGACCTGATGTAAGGCGCACTCTGATGGGGACGCCTGATGTAAGGGGGACTCTAATGGGGATCCTGATGTAAAGAGGTACTCTGATGAAGACCCTGATGTAAAGGGGCACTCTGATAGAGATACCTGATGCAAGGGGACACTCTGATAGAGATAGATGTAAGGGGACACTCTGATGGGAACCCTGATGCAAAAGGGGCCCTCTAATGGGTGACCCTAATATAAGAGGGTGCTCTGATGGGGACACCTGATGTAAGGGGAAACTCTGATGGAGGCCCTGATGTAACGGGACATTCTGATGGGGACCCTGATTTAAAGGGGCACTCTGATGAGGGACCCTGATATAAGGGGGTGCTGTGATCGGGACACGTGATGTAAGGAGCATTCTGATGGGGGATAACTAATCATATGTAAAAGGATACTCTGATGAGGACAATTGAGTAAAGGGAAGGGGGGAGGCACTATTAGGGACACTGGAGTAAGAGGACACTCTGATGGGGACACCTGATGTAGGGGGCATTCTGATGGGGATAACTGATCATATGTAAGGGGACACTCTGATAAGAACAATTGATGCAAGGGGGGGGAGCTCTATTGGGGACACTGATGTAAAGGACTCTGATAAAATCATCTGATATAAGGAGCACAGGTTTTGTTTGATCACCCTAATCTAATGACAGCCTAATACATAATAGTGTTTCTCAAGTCATGGCACTGTGTGACAGACTGTCAGCGACTAACATACAGGGTGACATTATACCCCCTGACTTTTTTTTTTTACTGCACCTCCAGATCAGGTAGGCTAGAGCTGGCCCACCTAAAAATTGCAACCTGTACTATTTTTTCATTAAATGAGGTGGGTTGCTGCTCACTTGTTTTAAATGGGCTGCCTAAACCTTAAGGCATGAAACATTACTGCGTTAAATGACATGAAACACCAAGGCACCACATACCAGTGTAGTGGAAATAGGCCCTTAATAAGTGGAACATGTTTAAAATGACCAATACCTAATGCTTAAAGCCCAACTCTGGGAAAACTAAAAGTCTGAAAGATGGCTCTCCCCTATGTGGCAGTGGACTGTCTCCTGGTGACCTCATGTCCAATGCAAGGGTATGGACCTTTCATCGGTTTTGATGGTATTTATTGGAATTTACACTATAGCACACTGGAGAAGAGGCTGCAGGGATTGGTCTAGCAGCACCAAGGAGGTCACAGGAGCAGACAATCAAAACTGCAGTAAGTCAGTCCTCTAGACATACACAAGCAGTTGACCCTTGCAGTTTTGGCACAGCCCCACTGAAAGGGAATACGTTTAGGGTTTTTTTTCAGCTTTAATAGCTTTTGCTAACAAGCTAGAATTGATGGCACATAGATAAATGTAATTGTAAAAATTGGATGAGATTGTACGAAACACTGACTGGATATGATGGAAGATTTTAATGAGCTGTAACAGATTGTAGAGCTGGTCACACAGGTTTCAATCCTATTTTTTAAACACTTTTTTTCTGCAAAACATTTTCTTTTTGTACCAGTCAACCTAAACCATAACGCGATTATACAATCCGCTATGTTAAGGTTGAAGGGAGAAAGAAAATATCTAACATGAAACCTTAGTAGGCTGTACTATTAGACTGGAATTAGGAATAATAGATTTCCTTAGTTTATAACATTCATATTGATTTATTTACTATGGTAAAGTAAAATAGACATTTAACAGTAAATAACCCATATGGACCAATTAGAGTTGATCTACTGATTAGTTTACTACAATCATTGACTACAATAAAATAACATTTGGTTAACTGAATAGTTAATTCTGGTCAGAAAACAGTGGGGGAGATGTACTAAAACTGGTACACACAGAATCTGGTGCCGCTGTGCATAGTAACCCATCAGCTTCTAGGTTTATTTGTCAAACCTTAATTGAACAAACTGAAGTTAGAAGCTGATTGGTTACCTTGAACAGCTGCACCAAATTCCATGGGCACCAGTTTTAGTAAGTCCCCCCCTTTTCTCTTCTAATTTATTGTGCAGTTACAAGCATGCCTTCTAAATTTTCCATTTCTGATAATGGCACAGAGACCAAATACATGTAAATACCCATGTACCATGAACTTTCACTTCAGCCATTTTTTTTCTGGTCTGGATTGACTTGGAGGTGATTGGATGTAAAGGCATGAAAGTCCATTTAAAAACAGCTGCCTATAGAATAGTGTTTTTTTTTGACCTGAAGCATTTTCATTCTAAATAATCGTATGTTGAAAAAAAGCTCATAGGCAATCTACAGAACAACATGTAGTATAGGTAAAAGGGGATAACATGTTTTGTAAAACAAAGGTGCCATCTGTTTTAATACAAAAAAGCATGGCAATCACCACAATATCACAACAGGACAGTGAAATGTAATAGGTATTAAGGTGGTAGTAAACCGCAGGTAAAAAAAAAAATCCCCTGTAAGGAAATGTCATAAAGTGTTAGTATGCATTGCAACTTTAATGGCATCCCAGTCTTAGTCCGTAGGGTTTAATATTGAGTTGGCCCACCCTTTGCAGCTATAACAGCTTCAACTCTTCTAGGAAGGCTGTCCACAAGGTTTAGGAGTGTGTCTATGGGAATGTTTGACCATTCTTCCAGAAGTGCATTTGTGAGATCAGGCACTGATGTCGGACGAGAAGGCCTGGCTCACAGTCTCCACTCTAATTCGTCCCAAAGGTGTTCTATCGGGTTGAGATCAGGACTCTGTGTAGGCCAGTCAAGTTTTCCACCCCAAATTCACTCATCTATGTCTTCATGGACCTTGCTTTGTGCACTGGAGCGCAGTCATGTTGGAACAGGAAGGGGCCATCCCCAAACTGTTTGCACAAAGTTGGGAGCATGAAATTGTCCAAAATGTCTTGGCATGCTGATGCCTTAGGAGTTCCCTTCACCTGAACTAAGGGGCCAAGCCCAACCACTGAAAAAGAACCCAATACCATAATCCCCCCTCCACCAAACAATGTAGTCAGGCAAGTACCATTCTCCTGGCAACCACCCAACCCAGGCACATACATTGGATTTCCAGACAGAGAAGCTTGATTTGTCACTCCAGAGAACACGTCTCCACTGCTCTAAAGTCCAGTGGTGGTGTGCTTTACACTACTGCATCCGTCGCTTTGCATTGCACTTGGTGATGTAAGGCTTGGATGCAGCTGCTCACCCATGGAAACCCATTCTATGAAGCTCTCTATGCACTCTTGTTGTGCTAAGCTGAAGGCCACACAATGTTTGGAGGTCTTTAGCTATTGATCCTGCAGACAGTTGGTGACTTCTGTGCACTGTGCTCTTCAGCATGCGCTGACCCCGCACTGTCATTTTACATGGCCTACCACTTCGTGGCTGAGTTTCTGTTGTTCCCAGTTGCTTCCATTTTGTTATAAAACCACTAACAGTTGACCGTGGAATATTTAGTAGTATAAGAAAATTTCACGGATGGACTTATGGCACAGGTGGTAACCTATTACAGTACCACACTTGAATTCACTGAGCTCCCGAGAGTGACCTAGGCAGCAGAGTGGTTAAATGGGTAGTACTTCTGCCTGGCAGTAATAGAGTTGTTGGTATGAATCCCAACCATGGAACCACCTGCCTGTAGTTTGCATGTTCTCTCTATGCCTGCATGGGTTTCCTCCCACACTCCAAAGACATTCTGGTAGGTTGATTGGCACCTGTGTAAACTTGGCACTAGTATGTGTATGTATGAATGTGAGTTAGGGACCTTAAATTGTAAGCTCCTTGAGGTTTAGGGACTGATGTGAATGTACAATATATATGTAAAGTGCTGCGCAAATTGATGGCGCTATATAAGTACCTGTAATAAATGAATAATTACATTTTATACACCTGTGGCCATGGAGGTTATTGGAACACCTAGATCCAATGATTTGGAGGGGTGTCCCAATACTTTTGGCAATATAGTGTATGTGAAAGGTGTAAAAATATTAACGAACAAAGCAAACAAAAAAAAAAATTTTTTAATAGTTTAATAAAATAGAAATGAACAAAAAAAAATAAGCAGGAAAATAATAATTAAATGGAGAAGGAGAAAAATGACTTAATTAGGGCTGATTGGAGTAAATTAAGAGTTAATAAGGGGTTAAACAGATGAATATTTAGGCCTCTTTCACATGGACGCTCTGCTTAGGTCTGCCTGACAACTGAAGGAGTCATCAGTTGTTAAGGACGTGGTGGCCCTACTCCTTAACAATCAGTCATTTCAAGCTTTTTTGGTTTTTACTGGCTTTTTTAAACTTTACATTTCAGCTGTTAGCTGTGAATCCTGCTGACAGCTGAAAGAACTGAGCCTGAAGGTAAGGGTTTCAGGTATCGGAGCATTTGCATGAGTACCGATACCTATGCAAATGCTTAGTATTGGCACTGATACTGATACCGGTATCGGAGCAACCCTAATATTCTGGCAGTATATACAGTACTCCTTATCAAAGTGTTAATTGCCTCAACAGTTGCTGAGTGTTAAGTAGTCCTGCACTATTTTAATAAAGTTCTCTTTTAAGGTAGGCTCAGAGAAAGTGTTAGCGCTCTGCCTATATTCTGTGTGCAGGCGTATGTAATGAAATAATTTACTTTTTAAAACTGGGTGTGTTGAGGTTTTTATGTGTCTTAGAAACTCTGACTTGTGGTAAAATAAAGGACTGGCATATGTGTGCTGTGCATACAGCAAGTAGGCTCAGGTTCTATTTAAATATGCCTTTTTAAGCCCCTTTCACTGTTGGTGCAGTGCAGCTACACTCACTGTTCACTATTCACAATGAAGTAGCACACCGCATAATTTTTTCATTTGGAATGCCCAGGAGTGCCCCAATCTTAGCAACCTTCCTACTGTGGCCCACTACACTGCAGAGGCAGGACAGGTAACAGGAGACACAGTGTACAGGTAGCTGTACTACAGCTGTGATACTCATGGACGGGTGGGGAACAGTATAGATCACAGTGCCCCCAGTAGTCACCAGTATAGATCTCTTTGTCTTTCAGCCCCTTTCCAAAGAGCCACACAGGGCCCCTTAGTTTAGTGCACCCCCAAGGAGCTACCACCCTCACCCCTGTCCCAAGCTAACCTTCTTTATCCCACTGACATGGGTGCCACTAACATAGCAGCATTTTTTCCTCCCACAGACTCAGATGTAGCACCAACACAAGGATATTTTTGGCCCACACTGATGCTGGGACATTTATTTTTTCACCACTGTTAGCTCCATATTGTGCATCTCTTTTAAGCTCTTCAATTTGATGTGGTGTAATACAAACATTTCGGTGCATGCCACAACCAATAAATATGCGGCAATATTCACAAAATCGAATTATTTTGTCTTAATACCATACCACTTTATTAATATGGTTTCAAATGTGGGTGTGCTTTTTTGGGTGCGTGATCAGTAAGCGTGGTCAGTAGGATGTCCACAGATTTATGTTGAAAATCTGATGACTTTACCTAATGTATGTCATTCTTCCTAACTGGTGGGCTATTTGGGAAAGTTGTGCTGCAATATAATATATGTGCACATATATTATATTACAGAGCAGGCCCCACTGGGTAACTGGGTTAATAAGGGTCTTAAATAGAAATCTTCACTGAGTTGGAGTTAGAATTAAAAAACTGTGTCCATATAGATATGACATCTGAAGAAAAAAAATGGTAAATCAAAATGGATTAAACTTCCAAAATGTGTGTGCTGGCATTTGGCTACATTCTATGTACAACAAAGGGAAGCTGAGGACTAAGATCAGACATGGGAGTTACTCAACCTATGTTCAGGGTGTATTTACCACAAGGCAAACAAGGCACTTGCCTAGGGTGGCACTTTTCAGGGGGCAGCACCTCCCCCAGGAGGAGGATGGAAGAAGGGACACGCGCACCATGGGGACCAGGTGGTATCCGAGAAGGGCTGCTTGATGGTGTACCTAGAACCTGACTGTCATTCCCGGGGATGTCCGGAGCTGTGAAGATTGGTGTCTTTCTCTCTATTGCCGGGCTGGGGGGATGGAAGGCTCCCACAGGTGGGGGTGTTGTTGGTCAATGTCAGGCTCTCTCTGAGGAGGAAGGGGGGTGGTGTTGGTCAGTGTCCGTGGGGGCAGACAATTTTTGTGTTTCCTAGGGCAGCACAAAGCCTAAATACACCACTGCCTATTGTACCACAGGAGGCAGTTTAAATAAGACTAAGGCGCCACACTCAAACTAGTGAAATTTCTCCTGCGTCTGCTGCTGCAATGCAATGCACGACAGTGGAAATCACAATATTCTATATGGTGTCTATTCACATCAATGCAGTATGGTGCAGTGCGATTTTAAAAATGTGCAAAAACAGAATACAGAAGCTCACTGAAAAACATATATTTATGCAGTAACACTAGTGTGAACCTAGGCAAGATCTATTTTGGAGTGGCACTATATGGATTAAAAACAGGAATTTTGACAGTGGTCAGAAGTGAGTTGATGCCACGCATCAGTTAAGTGTATTTCGCTGACCCATAGCATGGAAGATTAAGGATTTGTAGCTGAAAAGTTAATCTCTTCGCGTACATGTTAAGCAGAGTATGGGGGAGTGATATAAAGCACCAAATATTAATGGACTTAAAGTTGATAGTTCCTTGTAGAAACATGTACTTACTGGATAGGTCTAATTTCAGATCACTTAATGCAAAGTTCACTGTATGATTCATAAGCAAAGTGACTCCTCTAGACTACTGGGAGAATGTGGCATGATGTGCCCAGCCAGCCCAGTCCTTTCGGAGTGCCAAAACTGTGCTACCAATGGTGTGTGTCTCTTGCAAAGCCACACAGTCAGGATGTTGTTTCCTTAGTGTAGTCTCCCTGCCCTAAACAGGAGTGTCCATTTACAGTTGAAGTTGCTAGATTGTAATCAGCCTAAGCATGATTGATAGTTCAACTTTCTCCTAAACTCTTGTTATTGTGTACTTCTGCCAGCTGCTGAAAAGTGACCTTGGTAGAAGCGTGTGCCACTGAAAAATTCTGAATGACAAAAGTATGCATCTTTGGCCAGCCACTAGGAGGTTTATTGCCATTGCTGTAGCCTGGGAGAAAGTATAAATATTGGAGTGTAATGTTGGAAAGTCACTCTTCCTCTAGGCCTCTGTGGGAAGCTGTATGTCTGATCCTTTTAGACCTTATGACTGAAGAGGGTGACCATGTGATTAGACAGAGGCCTAGGTTTGAGAGCCTAGAAAGCTGAGCAAGGGGATTGATGCACCATGAAGGAACTTCAGCCTAACTATGGCATTGGAAAAGCTTGATAGGTTCTTGGTTTTCAACAGAAATGTGGTGATCTCTACAAGGAGTTCATAGCAGAATTATTCCAGGAGCTGAATTCATAGAAGACAGCTATTTGTGAAGCCTCTAAGGAGGGCTGCCATTGGTGGGGAACAGCTCATACATATGTATATGTCCGGGTGTTGGTCCCCAACCAACCAGCTGTTGCCCGGTTTCCACCACTGTGGGGATGGGGGAGGGGGGAGGAGGGCACTACTTGCTGCCCACTGTTGGCAGACCTAGGCTATCTCCTCTCTGGAACAGTCACCTAACATCTGGCTACAGACGTTTTACCTCTCCACATGAGCCTGTTTTTAAATTCTGAGATGTGAGTTACTATTACCTTCCTATTAAATATTATTGCAGTATACACTTAGAGGCGCTGAGTTTCTTTTTAATAGTTTTGACTGCCATATCCACACAGCGAACCACCCTCAGTGGACTGCTCTTGGCTACAGAAAGACGGATAATGCCATGTTGGGAGACAGGAACTGGAGGAGAAAGTCAGCTGACCAACTGAAGGGCCAGTAGAGTGAAGGGGGAGGAGCTCTCCACTGTAGACGGAGACCCCATGTCAGGAGAGGTGCAGTGGAGACTCAGACACATGAATGGAGCCAGGTAGTAAGTACCCAGGACTCAGGAGGCACATACAGTTCCGGTGATGCATACCTTTTGCTGAGTAATTTAAGAAATATTCCTGCTTTTGTGTTATAAATGCCTCTGACATTTAGCTGCCTATATGTAGAAAATAGTCATGATATCAAACTACCTGAGATAATTCAAAGCCAGGTGTCTGCAATTCCTATGGGGAAACAGCGTAAACTTTAGAATGCTATTCAGAGGGCATGTGGTTACATTTTGTGCCAGCGAACTTTATTAGCCAGGAATTTTTCATATGTAAAGCATCCTGTGATCTGGTATCACAGAAAAAATACAGATCTCTAATGTACAGACAATATAATGTGTATGCTAGCTATTGAGAGCAATACATTTTACATGTTATATCGAAAATACAATGAATTAAGTTCACCTTGGGGGACAGTTCACAGCAGGATTGCACAGGAACATATGCTGCATCCCCGTACAGTGCAAGTTTGAAGCTCTTTAATTTGAAATTGCACTGGAACGTGGTGAAAGTAGTGCATGCAAAACATTTTTAAAAAAAACTCACCGAATCAAATCTCACAGTGTGGGAAACACACCCTGAATGTGCGTGT